TGTTGAATCAATGCAACGTAGAATTAAGGCAGTTCTGAAGGCGAAAGGGGGTCAAACACCGTATTAGTATGGTATTCCTAATAATCCTTTAGGTGAGTGTATATTTAAAATATATAAAACTTGTTTTTCATTTATTTACATAGATACCTATGTTTAATGCCAATGACAGTTTCAATATCAAGAACAATAACTATTCACAAAATGTACAATTACAATAATATACTGTAGTAAAGGTTATGTGAATGTAGTTTCTCTCTCTCTCTCTCTCTTCCTTTCTCAAATGATTGGGATTCTGACGTCTCTGCGGGGCAGTGTGGGTCGGTGAGACAAAGACATGAGTCACATATTAAATCACACATTAAGTCACGACAGGGAAGACCTGGTGGAAAGGCTACTCAGAGTGGTGTGGAACTTAAAACCTGTGAACCATTTATTTTTGGACTTTTCCACTTAATATGTTTGGGCTCACTGAAACCACTGTTACCAAATCAGTGGATGCAGAGGTTCCACTGTATATAGATTTTTGATGTGCATACACTCGCCCCATTGAGCACAGGAGCCAGAAGAGTACTTGTTATTCTACATGCTGTAATATTGGAGCAGACTTGTAGGTGTCCACTGTGTTTTCAGCTCACCATGGAGAAGCGGAAGCTACTGGCTATGCAGCTTCATCTCCACATGCCTGAACACAGGCCCATTGACTCAGTAAGTGATTTGCAAGGCTATCTTCTGATCACTCATTGTCTTACACTCAGTGTTTTTGTCAAGCTGTCACATGAGTTGAAATGAATCAGCTGCATGAATGGATAAAAATGGGTCCATTTCTGAGACCTGTGCTTCTTGCCTTGGATAAAATTATAATTATTTGAATGAAAATATATTCTGGGTGCATACGTTTTCTAATCCATTGAATCAATTTTGGTAATCATGCCAGAGTAATATGTACCGATTATGTGTATGTTTTATACTAACCATACATGTCATTTAACAATAATAATATACTTTTATTCCATATCAATCATACTGCACACTTACTGTACTACTGCTGATGGTTTTTGGACCCTGATGTTGCTTGTATTTTATATTTATATTACCTATAAAATGTACTTATTACTCAGATTTTGTACTTTTACAGCACTGATATTATATATTTTTATATTTCTATCTTACTTATTTCTTATATATGTCCAAAGATTCAAATATAAATGCACCATTTGTGGTTAATGCAACTGCAATTTCATAGTGGTGGCACAACAACAATAAAGTTCTTGAATCTTGAATCTTGAGTGCATGTCAATCTGGCTGTTACAGTCATACACAAATTCAGCACACAAGTACATTTGCATGTCCCAGAAAACTGTATCGCAGTACTGCTCCCTGCAATGTTAGCAAGATATATGTATTTTTGGAATCTTTCAGCCCCAACAAGAGAGTTCAGAGAGACAGCAGTTATGGCTCCGTGACAGTGTCCCCTGCAGTGTCACTAAGGATGCCGCACAGCTGGTGCCACCAAGCTACTGGCCTGTTCCGAACTCCCACTTTGTTCCAGGTGAATATAACACTCTTCATTGTCATTTCAGGTCACATATTATGTTATGTGGCAACAGTCTGTACAGTAGCAAAGAATTCACAGAATGAAACAATAGACAATTCATACAATACATATGCAATGAGCGATACAAGGACACAATGACAACGCACAATACCCAATATAAATATAATATAAGAAAGCGAAAATTATACAACACATCAGATATCAGAATGCATCAATACATACTTTTGGAAATTAAAGAGCATGCAATATATCCTCACCAATTTGACAAATTTATATTGCTCTTCATACATGCTTTACTAGGAATTTACAAAACAGATTAACTTTTGGATTCACTTTCTTTGAATTCTAATCTAGGCTAGTACGCAGCAGTTTCATACAATGCCTACTCATTCAAAGCCCTGTGTCATTTTACAGACCCCGGGACTCATGCGAAATAAGGGGATTCAAAATAAGAGTAATCTGTTAAAATGTGAACATCACAACTGAAGACTGTGGCTTTATAAATTGAAGGAATACTGTACACCTAGTGATATATGCTGTAGGTGTCGATATTCCGATCTGAAAAATAGTGGTGTTTTCTGGGCTGTTTATTTCATTTCCATATTCATATAATATAACTGCTACAGAAATTAGTCTGCATGATATTAGAGTTTTAGAAAATGATGAATCCATGGTGCACATAATACCATTTCTTTGGGAACTAGCTAAGAAATTATAAAAAAAAAACGTGTTTGTAACTCCCTGTTAAAAGTAGCTTCTTTGATTTCACATTAGAAATAATTACATGTAAGCATCCAGTCATCTATCTACCATGAAGCCACTTTTCTTGGTGAGGGTTTCAACATATAATGATAATATGATGTAATATTTAGCAGTATTAATAGCACATAATGCTTTGCAGAACTTGTTCCCAGCATTGACTGCTACAAGTACCACAACATTCGGCCACCTTACACCTATGCTTCCCTAATCAGATGGGTGAGTAAACATCAAGCATTTTACAAACCACGCAGTACAGAAAAATATATGCATAATCAGCAATATAATTCTTGGCCGTGCAAAATAAATGGCCATTTCAACAATTTGTTTATCGTTTCTCCTTGGATGGTCTCAGGCAATTCTGGATTCCCCAGAGAAGCAGCTGACTTTGAATGAAATCTATCATTGGTTCACCAAAATGTTCTACTACTTCCGGCACAACACGGCTACATGGAAGGTACCTGTACATGGTTCTCTCATACTTCTGAGATGTAAAGCGAATTTAGGTCTAAGTACTGCTGGTTTTCTAGCCTTCCTTTACCTGTCAGTCAGGTGTGAAGCCTCTGACCAATCAGAATCAGTAATTATTAAACAACTACCTGGGGGAACTGAAAACACGGCCTGGATTTGGAATCGAGGTCCAGAGTTGAAGAACCCTGTTCTATAGGATAATTATTTAAAATATGTTTGCTACTCAAATTCTAGCCTAAACACGACCAATGGTAGCCCTGTGCTTTTTAAGTTAAACCACTACAGACAATTCAGCAATAAAAATGATTACAAACCACTGCAATTCAGATATTAACATTTTATATTTACATGTCCCTGTCCTAACCCTCAGTATCTTTGATTGCCCTCCGCAGAATGCTGTCCGTCATAACCTCAGCCTCCATAAGTGTTTTGTACGTGTGGAAGGAGGAAAGGGAGCAGTCTGGACAGTGGATGAAACTGAATTTCAGAGGCGAAAGGGGCAGAAATTTAACCGGTAAGAGGCCCGTTTCTGGTCACATGTTTGCAATAAGAAAAGGAATAAAATTATTAGTATTAGCACCCCTGACATACAATGCCTGAGTAGCCATGAAACTGGAGTAGCACAGGGTTGCATCTCAACACCAAACACTGAACCTCAAAAGTGTGCCTTTTTCCAAGATTTGCTTTTCCTTGAACATTGAACACAGTGGTTTTAAGGAAGGATTATGGTTAGATAGGAATACGTACAGTATACAATGTTTGCACAAGGATTATATGTGCATTATCTGGCACTTATGCTTCCTATTTCATTGCATACTCTGTTTCTCAGATGTATAAAGTACTGTGGCCATGACGGCCGTGACAGCTAGTCAGTGTTGTACCCTTTTTGAGGATTTTTTGCCCAGTGTCATATACAGAACTATAGCCCACTTTCCAAAGCATTGTAAAGTAACAGTGGACTAAAAGACACTGAGGATCAGTCTTCAGTTTTGCTCACAAATTTCCAACTTAATTTAATTTAGGGAGCTAATGCAATATTATTGTGTATCCAACTGTAGTTTTAAACAGTGAAACAAGGATGCAAAATACTCTATGTACAGTGGAAACCGCTTATATAGTGATCCCGTCTGTCTGGGTGAAATTGATCCCTATAAGCACATGATTATTATAACCATTTTTTTTCTTCTTTATGTCTCAGGCAGATTACCATCTAATTGACATTTGTATATTTATTACATGAATATAAGGTAATAAAACGGACAGTGTCGCTATTTATTTAATTTTATTCATATTTCAAAATATGGTACAGCTGTTTCAAATGCTTTTCAAAGTACAGTACTGTACAAATTAAATTACTGAACTATGCATGATTCAAATACACTATAATACACTACAGAACTGTACGTAATATTCAATTCAATTAAACGTTTATTGTAGTTTCACTGCTGCATCTTGGTGGCTCTTTTTTGGCGGCTTATCATAAGTTTTGATGAGTCTATATTTGTCATTGAGAGAAAATGACTTTCTTTTCTCCGTCATCTTTTCTGTGCACGCAGCATTAGCCTCAGGTAGCCGCATTAGCCTCAGGTAGCAGCATTAGCCTCAGGTAGCCGCATTAGCCTCAGGTAGCAGCATTAGCCTCAGGTAGCTGCATTAGCCTCAGATAGCAGCATTAGCCTCAGGTAGCTAGCCAGAAGCAGATGGTTTACCGCAAGACAAAGTAGGCAAGTAAAAGAAAGAATTACCATAGTTTTAATTTTCCATATGTTGTTATGCATAAAAAGACCCAAAATGAACACTGTAAGCAGACTACTTGATTACTATAAACAAATTGTTTAAACAGTATTTGCACAGGGATGATTCTGTCCAAAGTGTTTGATTACTATATCCAGGATCTCTATAAGCGGTGTCCACTGTACTTAGAGGCATTTAGTGAATTCTTAGGGCTGTACAGTATGTGATAATAACTATAATCATTCATTTTCTGCCTGTGCGTGTAGTATTTAAAAACATTTATCTTTCTACAGAGCTCTGCCCTACTCACTCTGCCCTCAGGGGTCCTGAACTGCACCTCAAGTGGTTTAAACAAGCCGAACCCTCATATTGGGAGAGTTTCACTAGACTAGTTCTTCCTGTTTCCTTCATGTCATTTTCTTATTATCTTTTTAGTGGATAGCTACTCGACTGGTTTTCTCTCATTTTCTTCAGATGTTGCTCATATAGATGGTGATTATTTTTTAAAACAAAAGAAACAATCAAAATATGACCTGTGGCTGGATTAATCAATTAGTTGAATAATGAATTGAATAATCTGCTAAACTTTTGTATTGAAATTGATTAAACTGTGTCCTGTCATGTTCGGAAGGAGGAGCAACCCAGGTGCGGCCGCGGACCAGATTTAAATCACTTTTATTTGGACAAAAAAAAGAACCAGGAACAAAACAGGACCACAAAGGGTCTAACTGGGAACTGGGGGATACCTAAAGGCAGAGGAAGACACAGGCAGCCACATGGAGTTACAGGGTCAAATAAGCAGGGATCATGCAGGAACTGACACAGGCAGCCACATGAGTAACGACAATGACCAGACTGGGACTGACGAGACATCCAGGCACTATTATACAAGATAAACAAGGGTACGATGAGCAATAGGCATGGCCCATTAGGGCCACATCAGGGAGGAGATGAGAGGTTCAGGCAGACACATGTTGCGCAGCACATGACAGTAACCCCCCACCCCCTCCCCCTTGGAGCATGCACTTCAGACACGGAGGATGAACAGGGACAGGGACCGAGGGGACCAGACACCAGGGCAAACACACAGGCCCGGGGACAGATGGAACACCTGATAGGACAGGGCATGGCCGGACCGACAGCACACAGGACAGACACCAAATGGGACCAGGAATTGGACAGAAGAGACAGATACTGTACAACACTAGAGGGATAGGGCCACAGGACAGGACACATGGCACGGCTAGGGGCACGGAACGGGCAGGGACAGGACCAGGGGCCAGAACGGCTCCAGGACAGGGCGGACAGGCAAAGTGACAGGAACAGAGACATGGGAGGACACAGACCAGGGATAAACGGAGGCACAAGAGGGTGCTGGGACAGGGGGCTTAATTGGGCCCAGATGAAGCGGGAAACGTCCAAGGACCCCTCGGAGTTGGGGAAAGCAGGGTGAAGGGCGAGGGGTGGCAGCTGCTGGCAAGGTAGGGATTGACGGGACAGTGGGACCGGTGGGCTCCGACGAGGCAGCAGGATCACCAGGAGGAGTGTAGGGCACTGAGGGGCCTAAAGGGCCAGAGGTGGAGTGGGCTGTGGGTACTGCCTCCTAAGAAGGGGAACCTAGGTGGCCGGGGCTGGTTTTGTGTCCCTGCCTCCCTCTCTGAGGAACAGGATCCAGAGGGTCCCACTGCAAGTCCTCAGGCAGGGCATCCTCAAAGTCCATGCAGTCTAGCCAGGCAGCAACCGGGGAGTCAGGATCCAGTGCAGCGAGGAGGTTGGGGCGTCGGGAGCCAATGACATGGTGGACTTGGTAAGGAAGGCACCCACCTTGCAGCTATGGATGAGGACGGCGCCGTCGAGGCACCAACAGGCATGGAGGATGCTGACAGGACAGCAGGAGACGAGGCAGACAGGATGGCAGGAGATGAAGAGGAGGCAACAACTGGCAAGACACAATGTCTGGACCAGACATGGACATCACTTGGGACGGTGATATGGTATCACCTGGGCCAGGAGTGGGTGTTGCAGAAGCAGCTTCCCTGGGGCCATGGACTGGGGTTTGATCCAGATTTCAACAGCACCGGTGAGGCTGTGACCAGGTAGCCAGAAGACTCCCCTGAGCCTGGCGCTGGAGAAGTGGGCTCCTCTGGGCCTGGAGCAGGCAAAGTGGCCCTCTTGGGTCAGAAACCAGGGTTTCAGGCGGAGTGGCCCTCTCTGGGCCAGGAGCTAGGGATACGGGCGGACTGGTTATTTCTGGACCTGGAGCCAGAGACACAGGCAAGGCGGCCGCCTCTGAGCCAGGAATGGGACTGTGGCAGGTGGGGCAGTGTGCTCTGGAGGTGCTGCAGAGATGAGGACAGACCCTGGAGGCACATCAGTGGTGAGGATGGGCTTTGGAGGTGCATTAGAGGTGAAGATGGGCTCTAGAGGCACAGCAGTAAAGCGTTGCTTGGGACGGCCACGCGATGAGCAGCAAAGTGCTGCAGAGATGAGGATGTGCTCTGAAGATGCAGCAGCAAAGTGCTGAGGGGTGCTGGCCTCTTCAAGGCCTAGGACTTGAGACTCTGGTGGAAACATTTATTTATTTTGAGCTAGGCTTTGTACCACACGCCCTGCCATGTTGTCCTTGTAGTGAGCCCATCTGGGTGGACCTCCTCCTTTTGCCAGGGGTCCAGACATGCAAGGGATCCGGTGTACCGCGTTCCTGCAGGACTTCAGAGTCATACGAGAGCCTCCCCAGCGGTTGGGGAAAACACCAAGGACTGGCCAGGGGGAGCAGACAGACAGGCACATCATGAAAAGCTCTCTGGGAAGCCATTGGGCCGTTTGGGCAGTCTGGTTATTCTGTCACATTTAGGGAGAGGTACAACCCAGGTGCTGCCATAGAGCATGTATAAAAAGGTTTTATTTGGACAAACAAAACAGAACAAGGAACAAAACAGGACCACACGGAGTCTAACGGGGAACTGGGCATAAATAAAGGCAGAGGAAGACACAGATCGAACACAAGGAAGTGCAGGGCCAGATAAGCAGAGATCATGCAGACACTGATACGGGCAGCAACATGGGTAATGACAATGACTGGACTGCAGCTGACGAAAAAGACAGGCACTCTTACACAAGATTAATGGGTACAACAAGCAAGGGATGGGCAAACACACGACAAGCAGAACATGACATGTCCTATGAGCCTCCTCCTGAAAAATCTTAATACATTCAACACATTTGATGCTAATGTAGCAAATATTTAATCTATTTAGTATTACAATCACTCCCAATTTAGCGATTGAGTTCTGTAACAAAGACCAGATTGATAAATAAAATAGTCCACCTCGTGGATATTTTTAACGACATTCTACTTCAAAGATCTCTTCGGAAATTCGGTAACAAATGTACACATTGTCAGAATATTTTTTATTACCATCATATTTGTAAATGATAGCTAACTGAGGCAGTCGCTAAATGGGGAGTGGTGGCATTCTGAATAACAGTTACGCCCGTTACGGTGGCGGTTGATAAGTGAGTTACACTGTAGCCTCACAGCTCCCGTATTGGGGGTTTTGATCCTGCTGCTGGTCGGTGTGTGAAGTTTGCATGTACTGCCTGTGTTGTGCAGGTTTCTTCCTCTAGACCAGCAACATGCGGTTATCTGCCTTGTGCCCTATACTTGCTGGGATGGGCCCTGTGACAATGCATTATGTAATAATGCTGCATTATGAAATAACTCCACAGAATGTAACAAATTAAATGATGATAATAATAATAATAATAATAATAGGGTAATGTTGCAATATAAAATTAGAATATAGTCTATAAATTTGTAACATTTTGTTACAAAATGCGATATTATTACATAATGCATTGTAATAGGACCCAAGGTTACAGTGACACGGTAAAGCAAATCGGTTACGGAATATGGCCTTTACATTTCCTGTTGATTTGATTTTGTAATTAGACAATTCAGGCAAGCTCACTTGGGTAATGCCAAGAATTTTAAATGATCTTATTTTACACCCATTGTAATGGGTTTGTTGAAGATGTACTTCCTGCATTGAGTGCATATTGCACTGGTCTTACTGTCACCACAGGTCAGCTCTCGTGTTGCCCGTTTTCTTCTGGCACCTGCCCCTCCTGAAGTGAATCTGAAAGAGGGCCTGGGTGCCTCAACTTGAACTCTCACAATACTGAAAGGAGTGCCCAGGACTTCTCCAAATTATCTGGTCTCATGTCTGGATCTGGGGACCAACAAGTTTCTCAAGGAATATTTGGCAGTGATGCAATTTTCCAAACTACTGGTTTACATCACTCCAATAGACATAAACACAATAATTATTGAAACACAACAGCATTGTCAAAAATCAACAGAAACCAATGAGCAGTCATTTCTGAACTGCTAGTGGAATTGGGTGATATATAGTTAAAATACTGTATTGTTATTGTCAAGATTCATATCCTCATCAGTTTGAATATTTTGAGTATTATGACATATCCTAAACACATGTTCTCTTGCATAATTTAACAGTTATAATGCACTATTTCTTACACAAATTCTATTAAGGTATGAGTGTTTTTGGCGTAATTTATCATTATATCTATCACATCCTCCATATCTACAAAGAAACAGTTTGGTCATCATAATCAGATACTCAAAACACTGATGTGGTGAAAATCTCTGAAAATATCGCCCAGCCCTAATTGCTACTAACTCATCAGAGTTATTGACTTACTACAGTCCCTTTGGTTCAACAGTAGTTTAGCCCACAGTCCAAATTTAGAAACTTATTAGAGAAGTTTAGATTTTTTGGGGGGTGCTCCCCCAAATGATATTCTGGGATATACCTGTACATTCTGCACATAGCTAGACTGCCGATCACATGCTGCCTAAAAACTGATGCCATTCAGACTTGTTTGGCAGAGACAGCCAGAGCAACAACATCGTCTGAATGAAAGAAGCCATTTTTTCCTGTATACCTCTGATCACAGCCACAACAAACAAACACAGTTATCATAATAAATCTCCCTAGAGATGTCAAGTATTCCAGTTACTTGGTTTTTGGAAAACGTTTGATCTTTTACAAGTTGCTTGTTCATTTTTATTTGTACCTTTTATGTTATATTAGCCTATAAATGTATATGATTTTGTCTGATCAAGTTGGTCATGCTCAGTATAACAAAATATTGTTTGTATTAAAGTTTTTCTGAGTTGCTTTGGACAGTATCTGTAAACAGACTTAAGGTTCTCCCAACTGCTTGTGCATTTCTCAAAACAGTTTGTACACCACAGCACAGCAAATTTGAATAACCAGCAAAATGAAATTATTCATTAATAATTAATTTCATTCATGTTTCAAAATGCAGTTTTCTTGTCAGCCATTTAGTCAATGCAAATGTGAAATCAATGAATCATTGCCTAGAGATATATCAGTAAAAATGTTTAGTCATGTTGTCAACATAAAAATTTACTATGGAAGTATTTCACATATTAAAGTTATCAATTGAGGCTCGATTTACTTCACTATCATTTCTCTGTAGCCAACTGAATTTGTTTGTGCACCAAACCACATATACTTATGTTCTAGAAACATTACAAGGTTTTACCATATTAATATCTTCTACAAGACAGGAATACTGTAACATTTGTAAGGTGTTTTTTTTCATGACAACAAAAATGACAACACTACACAAACAAACAAATACAATGTCACGTTCAGCTTGGAGGCGAGCAGGGAAGCAGGCGAGAGCAGCCAGGAAGTCAGGTAAACGGGTTTATTTGTCACGAAAGGACTGACAGGTACGGACATCGACGGACACTACAATGACAGATCTGGGGAAGACTGACTCAGACAAGGACTAAATACTGTACAAAAGACAAGCTAGACCTAACAGGACACAGGTGATCACACTCAGGGCTGAAAACGAGGTAACGAGGTGGGCGTGGCACACATCAGGAGCGGACGGAGCGGGGCGTGACATACAAAAAATATGAAGTTATATGTTACAGTAAAAATGTACACAGTACTTCGGGTATTTAATGTATTCAAATCTTGTGGGCATCAGTATCACTGATTAATTACACTGGATGGCTGCAGTCTGTCTAAGTTGTCACAGTGATGCAGAACCTACTGTACATTTAACCAGTTTACTGTATGTTTTGGTGTCTATATCAAATATCAATATTAAAATAGGAACAATAGTGGTCCTAAAATTGAACCCTGCGATACCCAATGAGTCTGGATGCTGTTCAGCCAAATGGCTATTTCAATATTAGTTTAAATTCTAGAACTTGTGGCCATAAGTGGAAATTAGTGGGAGAACATTTTAAAACAAATTTGAGAAAGCACTTCTTTACACAGCTTGTAGTTAGAGTATGGAATAGTCTTCCTGCTAGTGTAGCGGAAGCTAAAACCTATATTTAAAGGAACCCATGGGTTCCTTTAAATCAGAGCTAGATAAGATTTTAACAACTCTGAGCTATTAGTTAAGTTCTCCCCAAACGAGCTTGGTGGGCCGAATGCCCCCTCTCATTTGTAAATTTCTTATGTTCTTATGTTCTTGAACGCAGGTCCACTGTGACATTGTGCCTCTAATAACTACCAGCTGCTTCCTGTCTGTTAACCAGTTTTTGATCCAAGTTGCTACAGTTCTTATAATCCCTGCAGTTTTGAGCTTAAACAGGAGCCGTTTGTGGAGGACAACATCAAAGGCCTTCTGGAAATCTAAGTAGATCACATCGTAGGCCTATTTTCTGTTGTAGCTTCCTCAAAGAACTAGTAGATTAAACAGGATTTACCTCTCCTAAATCCATGTTGGCTATCCCTCAGAATGTTATTTGAATCCAGGTAATCTACCATTTTCACTTGGATTATAGCTTCCATTACTTTTCCAGTTATGCAAGTTAAACTGATTGGCCTATAGTTTGCTGGATTACTTCTATCCCCTTTTTTGAATATGGGTGTTATATTAGCATGCTTCCAATCAGAAGGTACCACACCAGCAGATAAGGATTTCTGAAACAGTAAAGTTAAAGGTTGGCTAATAATATCCCTCATTTCTTTTAAAACTATAGGTAAGATGCCATCAGGACCCTGCGATTTATTTATTTTGAGCTTAGCTAGGCTTAGTACCACATCAGCCTCAGTTATATACATATTAGTTATAGACGATGCTGGATTAGTAATAAGAACTGGTAAGTTACTCGTGTCCTCAACTGTGAACACCTGTGTAAAATAATCATTAAACTCATTTACTATATCAATTTCATTTTCAATTATAAGGCCCTTACTACCCTGCAAATTAGTGATTTCAGCTTTTAAAGCTCTTTTGGATAAACTTTTAATGTCACCTTAGCCTCCAATGCAATCTTCCTTTCTACATTCCTTTTAGCGAGTCTAATGTTATTTTTTAACTCAACCTGTAGACTTATTTTGAAATCATTAGTTATTTTCCATTAGCGGAAGAGCCCTTTTCCTCCTGACTTTATTTATTTCTGTAGTAAACCACCTTGGTTGCAGCTTCCTAGATTAAGTTTTCCTGGAAACAGCTATGAAGTCCTCTTGCACTTGCAACAATATGCTTTAGTTCCATGGGTTTAGCATCTCTATCCTATTCACCTTTGCCTTATCCTAATGAGAACTGAGGGTGGGGGGTTTAACATTTAATAAATAAGAACTATAATAATGAATCCACACACACACAATAGAGACTATTACCCTTAACATCACTGAATATTTTTGTCTTACCTGCAGCAATACTGTAATGTTGGTTATTACACCCACAGAGCTTAACGTCAGACAATTTATGACAGCTTGAGTTTGATTCTAAAGAAGCAAGATAACTGGACTGATATTTGTATATTGCAGTTTTGTTTCAGTGTCACTCACATATTTTGAAATGAACCAGGCATGGGTGGAACTTTTGCTACCAGCCACCTGGGCTAGTGCAGTAAAAAGTGGTTCAGCATGCAATTTTTTATTATAAGTCAGTGGGCTAGCATTCAGTTTTTTGTACTCACTCTTAATCTAAATCACTTACCCCCAGCCCTGAAACCATGTTAATTCATATATACTACTTGATAAGAACATAAGAGGAGGCCATTCGGCCCATCAAACTCGATTGGGGAGAACTCAGTCACCCCCCCATAACATTTTCTTTCTGGGGCTATTCTTATTTGATAATGACATTGCAGGGGGCATCTATATGTTAAAAGCATGTGTGGGCTACACTTGGAGATGGCTGTTAAATAAGTGGGATTTAGATTTGATCTTAATTCAAGGATTTTTTTTTACAGAATATGTTCACATTAATCATTTAGCTCAAGAACACAACATAGCTGTGTTTATAACCCACAATATTACAGTTACAAGACTAGTTCATTAACCATAAACCCAAGAGCAGATGTATACGTCATTAGTTTATCCTGTCATAAATAAAGTGCCAGTTCTCAGCTTCTCTTTATTCCTTAGTTTGCCATCCTGTACCGGGTATTATTGTCTGTCCACTTATTCGAAATACAGAGCGTCATCCTAAGACATACTTAAAAACCACAAAACAGGAAGGAAGAGAATATGCCAAATTATTGCAATAATTTAAAAAAAAAATCTAATAAGAACAATTCAATAGATGGTGCCCAATAAACGTAAATTACAAATCTGATTCTGTCGGCAGTAACGCAGCCCTAAGACCGAAAAGACCTTTGCTTGTGTTCAAAAAATGTAATACTTGTAATATTATCTACAGATATGGGGAGCATATTGGTAAAATTACAGAGGCATAGACGTAACATTCACTCGACTGTCAAATTTCTCTCGTCGCCATCGATTGGGTCATTACATCGTTGCTATTTTCCATCATTTAGTATCTGGCGCCTGATTGATGAGAATTGCTTTCATCGCCGACCAATCAGACAAATGTCACATGAGGTAAACAAGTCAAAAATGGAGTTTACGTCTCCGGTGATTGGCGGAAGAATTTTAGGCGCGGTGTAGGGCAGCCAATGGGGTGAACCATTTTTGTCTGCTAAAGCGAAAACGACGCAGAGGGAAATTGAGGGGAATGTAAAGATAAGGGAGCAGAGATGAAACCAAACAGACTTGTAAGAAACTTTCTTTTACTAACATTTGATTTACTTTTATTACAACAAGATAAAATAAAACTGATGCTCCCTTCCATGTGGACGAACTAATTGCCTTGCTTGCGAGCAGGCTAACGTTAGCTAATAAGTCGAAGTAGGCCTCTCAAATTTGCGCTAGGAGGTGTATTAAGACAAAAACGTCAAATAAATATATATGACTGCATCTATTAAGGCTGTTGGTTATCAACAGTGTTTGCATTTTATTTTATTTGTTATTAAATTAATAGAGCGGTGCAATGAGTGAGCCTTTGGACTCAACGAAACAGTCGGAGGCTAAGAAGCGAAGCTCCTCCCTAGAGCCGGGAGGTACATCCCCGCCGAAAAAAGCAGCTAGAATAGATGATGAAGTATTCGGAGATATTGAATCTGATTCTCCGTCTCTTAAAAACAGAAAAAATACAGATAACGCGGGGTTGTGTGAGACGGAGAAACAAGAAACAGAAACCGGGGACCAAAATATGCCGATTGCAAGCTGCATTTCCACGCCCGCCACTTTGGATATCGGGGACGCGCATCCTAGCACCAGCAACACTAGTGGGCTGGGGCAGTGTAGCAGTACCAGTTCTGCGCAGGCGCAAACGTCAGGAGACCAAACCGCAACGACGGAAGCCGGAAGCGGGAGCACCCATCTTAAAGGGCCCGAACCATCTTTTCCGCCAGAACAGTCTGACTGGGCAGCGATGGCAGCTGCTGAAGCACTCGCTAGCTTAACAAGAGGAGGCGAAGACCAGGATGTAAAAGATGCCGTCCATTCCTCTAAACAAGTTGAATTCAAAAGGAAACATGCTAAAAAGACTGTAAAACAAGACGACAGTCCCACACCAGGAAAGGGCCAACAGACTCGAGCCGCAGCTGACAGTTCTACTTCATCCCCAGAAAATCGCATTAAGGATTGCTGTGATGGGTCCAGAGTAGAAACGTTGCAGGGAGATGAGGAGGAAGATGAAGGTGACAATTTCCTTTCTGGTACCACCTCCACCCCCAGCTCATCTCACTCTGACGATGACAATGGTGATGATGTTGAATGCTCCATTGTGGATGTGAAGATGGCTCCCGAGACACGTCAGTCAGTGGCCCTGCTGGCACAGGTGCAGATAAGACTGGAGGCGCTGGAGAAGAAGGCTGCTCGTATGCATCAGCACCTGGAGCTTAAAATTAGTCAGCAGCGCAGGCCACACCTGGACCAACGCAGCACCATCATCCAGACGATCCCTGGCTTTTGGGTCACTGCAGTATCCACACTTAATTCTATTCACTGGCACCACTTATTTGGCATAATTTTGACTTCACCTGACCCCCCGGAACACTAATATTATGACAGATGAAATACAGTGTAAAATTACACCCACAATCCCTAATGTATTAACTAGCCTGTTGTACTGTAAACAGTGATTTAACCTAATCTTCAGTCATGTTTAACATAGAAATACCTATTCAATAACACCACACAGTAGGTTTATAAACAGACTTGAAAATCTTTTGCTTCAGAATGTTGCTTTCGTTCCTTTTAACCATTTTCTTGACCAAAAGCACCTCAGTTTCTGAATCACCCCCAGCTCTCTGCATACATTGATGAGAATGATGAAGATGCTCTTAGCTACATGACCAATCTAGAGGTAAACATTTTATTTGTAAAACATTTTGAATTCCTTTAATAAATAAATAATAAAAGAAAAAATATATATATAATGTCAATATGGAATTAATGTATGCTTAATTGATTGAGTTTATCATTCATTTAAATACATGTGTGTATATATACACATATATATGTAGTATTTTTGATACTTCTAATTCATAAATATCTTTCTCTAGGTGGACTTTTTCAAGAGCAATAAATTTGGCTATCGGATTACGTTTCAATTTAGCAGAAATAACTTCTTCCAGAACAGCATTATTATCAAAGAGTTTCACCATGATATGAGGGGTAAGTAAAATAAAACCAAATGCCATGTGTGTTAGATGTTTTATTTTGCTTAGAAAAAATGTAAGGTTTATAATTTAATGTCATATGCACCTGGCGTTAATGTTTTCCCGAAGTCCACGGATGTATTGTGCTTTCTTCGTTGAATATTGGCCTTTGTTTTTAGGTTATGCAGTCTGTTCTCAAGCCCTGTCCTGCTTTGCTGTTGTTGCCTCTCTCTTCTTTAAGAGCTTAGGTGGCAAACCGCTTTAATTTTTTTCCATCTTTATCCTTTCTCAGGGAGCGTGTTCTCCTTCTCTAACCCAATCCTCTGGCACCGGGGGCAGAACCTGACATCCCAGCAGCATATAATGAAGGAGCCGGGTTCTGGGAGATTGTACCAAAGCTTCTTCTGTTGGTTCAGTGACCATAATAATCCAGCCAGGGATGAAATTGCAGTGGTAAAACCCTCCCGCCCGCTCACCATCAGCCGAGACGCTGTGCCGTAATGGCCTCCTTTGCTTCACCTCATCAAATGTCTTGCTGATTGTCTGTCATTTCAACTGGTCTCCTCCTCTATCATTGCATGTGATGTAGATTCTGAAGGATGACCTATACAGAAACCCTCTGCGGTATTATTTAACTCCACTGTGGGAGCCAAGGCAGAATGGCAGGTAATCACACTGTCGCTTTAAAAATGTGTGTTTGACGTTCCTTTGGATGTTTTCAGTATCAGCTCACTTTTAGTTGGTTCAATAAAACACCGTTTCAATGTCCTTTGTGAGGTTTAATGAAAAGGATTATTTTCAGATTTTTGGTATGATTACACGTAGTTACCTGACATAATGTTGCTCTGTGCAGCAGTGGCCATCAAACAGCTGATAACAACAGTGGAAATGAGTGTGTGGTGATCTCAGATTCTGATGAGGAAGAAGGGGAAGGTGGGCCGGAAGTCAACAGAGATGAGGATGAGGAGGAAGAGGAACAGGATACAGGTGAGGATGTGTGCTCACCAGGTGAGGATGTGTTCTCACCAGTTTTTTTTTTTTTTTTTTAAAAACGTATACCGCATTGGCCCTAAACATAGAGTGGAAAAAATTAATTGTTTTAAAAATAGGACCAGTGGTGGCAAAATGCTTTGATTGCAATAATCTTGAATCTAGGTAAATAGAACTATCTCTTTGTCAGGTGAAAGCTCGGAGGAGGAGGAAGTGGTGATTGACAGTAAGTGTGTTGGAAGAGAGAAAAATGTATGAACAGTAGGGGTGTAACAGTTCATGGATTGTAATCGATATATCGATTGTTAAGGCCACGATACGATTTAATCAACTCAGCAAATATCGATTCATCTTTTTACACTATGATGATATGCCAAAACACTGCCGAATTTAAGTACAGAAACCAATAATTACAGTGCATTTTATGTAGTTTAGTACACCTGTTCCTGTGTTTAGTAAGCTATACATATCCAGAAATAGTTTTCTGTTGTTGAAGTACAAATACTAGGCAGAATGTTTCCTGTGCAGACTTTTTTGTTTTTGAAACATTTATCGTTGTCTTCTTGAATTCAAATAAATTCCAGTAAAATCAGCTTATGTTTCACGGTATTGAAAATATTGATCATGTATTACTGAATCGTGTCATATCGCAGTAACATTTGAAATATCGCTATATGTCAAATTGCTACCCTAAATACAGCTCTAGTGAACAGATTGATACACAAAGTGAGAATTTCCCTGATACCCTGGGGGGGGTCAGTGAGACAGACTTCTTTCGTGTCCCATGTGTTTCTCTCAGGCTCCGGAGACAGTGAGGATGGGGAGCAGGGTGAAGAGGAGTCCTCTGACAGAGACAAGGTGGATGATGAGGACCTGGATGTAGAAGATCTGGATGAATCACAAGAATCTGAAAGCCAGGAAGCCAAAGAGGAAGAGGAGGACATTGAGGTGGGCAGGGAGGATGACGGCATAGAATGAAGCTTCTCAAGAATACCTTCATCCATGTAATTTTGGACTGCTTTCTGGATCAGGGTAAAATAGATGTGATGCCCTCTTCTTCTTCCTAACTTCTATATTTTCTTGCTTGCGCTTTGTTTGTACTCAAAATTCAAATGTCTTATACAGGGAAATTTTATATCTGGCTGTAACATCCTAGAAATATGTTTCTGCTGTAAATGGATGTTTCTAAAATGTAAGAGGCTAAATGTTCTGTCTCCTAGTCACACCAGACATGAGCACAACAACTGACAACAGCTTAAGATTCCATTTCTTTTCTTTGTATGTGTGTTCCATGACCATAACAAACTAATGTGAACAGTAAGTCTTGACTGTGCTCTGGCTAATGTCAGGCAGCTCCCCCTAGTGGACACCTTTAGGAATGGCTTGGTTGTGATCACACTTGAAGGATTCTCCCTGTGTTAATTCATGACAAAAGTACATCATGCAGCATCCACTCTCTGTTAAAAGGATGGTTTACGTGGTTATGATTTGAAACTAATCGTGTTACCAACACAATACCAACACATTGGACTGTGTGTAGAGTACTTTGTCACATAGGGTTATTTTCAGATTTTTGGTATGATTACATGTAGTTAGGACGACGTCAGTAAGCATCGTGTTTTTTCTGTATCAGTTTCACACCATGACAATAGAAACTGATGCACAATTGTTCAAATCAAAAATAATTTGGCAATGATATCCAATTTACATTAGGACAGAGTTGCCACCGTATTCTTGTCCTACCACAGCAATTGTGTGATTAATTTTAAAAAGGAAACTAATGCCATTTCAGTGTAGTGTAGTATCTGCATAAAAACAAGCATATTGTAACTGGATCAACATGATCTTACAATATTCATTTAACTCAGACATTCTACTGAAATAGAGACACTTCAAAATTGATATTTGACATTCATCACTGTACAGTTAAAATATGAAGAGCACTAAATGCAAGCATTTGTTAAAAACCAATCTCTCTGAACTATGGAATGTTGTTGCTTACTAGGGGTAATTTTGTATTAATTATAAAACCTAGAGACTTCAACTGCACTTGGTTCTGAGTAAAAATATGTTCTCAGGGATATCATATTAATGATTATAAATATATTTTTCCCCTGAACCGGATTTGTCTTTGTACAGTAACGCAGCATGTAGATTGTACTGCCTTTTGCCTGGATCTGTGTCTCAACAGTAAGTCAATGTAAAGTTTTCATTTCAAAGTTTGTAACTGTTTTTCTTAAATACGCCACGGACTCTCAAAATGTCTATCGCACAAACTGCCGCTTTAGATGCTCCCTTTTTATTAGGGCCTACTAGATCTGTCTGTTTGTGAAATCTAGAAAGCATACATTTTATTTGCTTGAAGCAAGTTAGTATAGGTTAATGTATGTGGGATTTGTATATACACCCAGAACATCTTTTTTTCAGTTATTGATTATTTACTTAAGTCCTTGTAAGTCATTGGTCATTCTATCTGCTCAGGAGTTCAGCTTTATTTAGATGTTTAATGTTTACTTTTGCTTATAAAATGATGGTCTTTTAATAAGTGGAGAATAAAAACCAAACTCCAAGTGTAGATTATATTATTTTTGATTTTTTTCCACGCTGTACATTGTACAGTTTGATTCAGGATTGTCAAACTTGAAATGGATCAGAGAATTTTTTTTAATGGGATGTAAATATCCGCTGCATTTATATAACGTAACATACTTATTGGTAAATTTACATTTTAGAGCCTTTTTTGTTTTGCAAAGATCCGTACGTAACCTGGTAGCATTATTTAAACCTCTCAAGTTGTGTATGCGGCTTAGGTTGTCAAACAAATGATCAAATCAAATTCAGGTGAGTTGATTTGTCTGTTTTTCTTGACTATTGAGTGCTCTGAACTTTACTGGCAAAAATATTTTTTCTGTTACTAACGTGCTTAGGAATAATTGCTTTCTTGCCTGATCTGCTGTGTCTTGGAGGTGTGGTTCTGAATGTCAGCCACTAATCTGGACTTTCTGTTAACTGATGTCCACCTACATTTAGAGTGTAGGTCTAAACAACCTGAAAATATCCACTGTTATTTAAAAATATGCCCTGCATTGGCTCAGTGTGCCGTTGAGATCTAGCATGAGCATTTCATAAAGACATTGGGTGTCCATCTTTGTGTGGAAGCCACATTACAGACTGCTGTTATAGGAAGGGCACATGAAGAATTTATCCACAACAGGTAATAATGTGTAATTTGGGTTCTGTTTCCCATGGTTGGTTGGTTTTTTTTTTGGTCGTTTATTTTGATTGCTCTGTCGGAAATTCTGCATCTGGTTTAGAACATTTCTACAATGTTAAGTAATTAGAGAATGCAGTGGAAATGTGAAATAAAACTTAGAAAATAGGAAATTCTGGTCTCATGGCCCAGAAGCATTGTAGATCATGCTGTAATGATTAATATTATGAAACGCAAGGTGTCTGACGTTAGATTTCCTCACGTTATTTTACTAGTCTCACTATAGGTAGTCAGATTGAATCTTTTCAAGCTTTTCAAACAAATGGTTTGTAAATATTCTTTAAAGGGTTTAAGCTTTGTAAACATTGCTCTGAGGAAAATGATTTGGAATTGGAAAATATAAAAAGCTCTATTTTGTGTGCTGAATTTGTTTAGGATTTACAGTTTTATAATTTCGAATATGAAAAAACGTATTGTTCCTGGATTTTTTAAATAAAAACATATTTGGATCATCTGCTGTTTTATCTGCAATGCCGTTGGCTCAATAAAATTAATTTAATACAGTATTTGCTACCAACCCGTGTATTGTCTTTCTAGTCTAATACTGAAATACTAGCCATGTAGAACTTTCTAATTCCGTTTACAGCCAGTCTCGGTGTACTCAATCTGTTAAAAAAAGAAATAGGCAATACAGTTTAAAATAAATCTTGCATTTCGGACTCCGTAGGCTCACTCCACCATGTAATGAAAAGGATTGAAATGACTGAGCTTTTCGGCCGATGTTGCGTTGTGCGTCCAGAAGAGGGGCGTATGACATTGCATGGTGTGTTGAGGCTTTTTCGTGTACGACTTCTGCGCTTAGTCGTGTGTGATATTTATTTAAAGATGTTGTAATTATATTTGCCATTATTTTATTATTGTTTTTTTTTCTTTTGCTGTTTCTACAAATTGTATATATGTTGAAATATAATGCTGGGGTAGTTTTAGTATTTTAACACATTGGAAGGCAAAGTACTTGTGAAGGAAACCAGTGTGAGGTACAACTTTTGTCCCCTCAGACATGCGTATTAAATCTAACGTTGGAGCGGGGGTGCGCGTACAAAACGACTTTTGGAGGCACTCGAGTCCTGATTTCGTTTAGTATGGAAGTCCAGCTGATGTACCCTTTTAAAAGAATGTTATTTAGAACAATGGTTTTATGGCGACGCTCAGTGGTTTTCCTGCTTTTGTGCGGCTATGTCGTCTGGTTTCTCATCAGTCCCCCGCAGCCACTTGTTTTGTCTGCCTCCGCGGGTAACGTGCCCCCATCCCACAGGATCCCGACACACATCGGGTTTATGTCCACTAAACCATTGTGAGTCCCCAGCCCTAAGCGTTTTATTGATCACTGTGAATCGCTCTCAGGGCATTTTCCCACAAACAGTCACAGAAGAAATTTCAAAGGTAAAGTGATTTATTTCTTGGCATTCCCACCTCCTCAATTGGACTGCATTACCTGTTCTAAAGAGACCAGACCCGGCTGTAGTGCGATCGAGGCCCCGTTCGCGGTGTTGATCACAGACACCAAACGTCCCAGGTGAGCAGCTGACGTGTGGAAAGTGCACTGCACGACACACCCTGCAGGAAAAAAGTCATTTATGCACACGTACACTATTCGCCAGTATAACAACGAATGGACTGCTATATATTTAAAGTGTATTGTGACTGTCTTTGATCGCATTCTGGAGGAGTGCCTCAAACAACATACTTTGTTACACGATGCAAGTGTGAATCGGCACCTCAACAGCTCCTGCTTCTACAACTACAGCTATTAACAATTCGGGTACGCGATTTGCTGAATTTATATGCTTCGTATGTGTATTCGTTTGCTCGAAATACATATTGCATGAAACGTTGTGTGAGTGGTTTAATTCAGGGAACAGCTGATTATTCCTCATTCATTAAAAATTTACATTCGGTGCAAATTTTACTCGCATGCACATTTAAACTATTAATTATTCTCACTAAGTGCTAAATGATTTTTTGCTGGTCGGCTTTTGCCATCTTTGAGAAATAGGCAGAACAACATATACGGTAAATCCAGTTTTAATAATATGTAATAGTGTGGTCTCTGGTATTTTAACCGAGGAAAATATTTATAGTGTTTTTATTTTATCCTCCTTTCAACGATGTGTGGCATAACTGCCAAACTTTCTAGATGTATAAATAGGAAATGCGTCAGGTGTAAAATGTGCACGTGACACCTTGGTAAACGTCGCCTTGTCTCTTGCTAGTTTAATAATGTGCACCTGAATTTGTAGTAGCAAATGCAACCAAATTGAATTATTTCTTAATGTACACATTTGCCAAAAGAAATAATTGTTTTTTAAAAAAACTGATATTGGGGACCCTGGCCAGCGCCTGTTCCGCGCTCTTCTCAGCCGTACAGTAGCTGCATTGCCTGCAGACCAGTGGCAGCACTAAGCAATGATGGACTCACCGTGCTGTTTCCCCTCGGAGGCATGTCCGGGGCTAGGTAACAGCTGGAGGCAGAACTGCCAACCTCGGTTTCTGGAAATGTCTTCAAGGTTCACCCCGTTTGAAATGGAAAACAGGCCTCTCGGGAGTGTAACGATTTTTGACCAGGGACAGGCAACTAGTTCAAGTGCAGTCTTGTTTGTCATGCACATACTTTGCCTGCTGGTAACAAATGTCATACTGTATGAATAATTTTGCAATACAGGTATGTAGCTAGTTATCTTGTTAAATTAATATGTACTTTCCCAATTGCTTTCTTCGAACTGTGTTACTCCATAAAAATTAAAATTAGATTCTTCAAAAATATTGGGGTAGTTTGCAAACCATGTAGACTATGCACAAAGTCATAAACTGGTACATACATGTAAATGCAAGTGCATGTACATGCAGTCTTGTCTCGAATTGAAAATCTCACTCTATCTAGTTGACCAAAGTTGGTAGCCCTGCTAATATAGAGCCAAAAATTAATCTCCAGAAGAGGCACAGCAACATTCATCCACTTTTTTATTTTGGAAGCATGTAAATTGTCTTATGATGTAGTATGATTGGCAGCCTCATCTGTGCAGTACTTTGGCATTGGCATGTTCTGACCTAAATGCATTGCCTTTCAACTGAAATATAGTGATCAAAAATGCACATTCACCTTTAGTAGTTTGGCACTGTGCTATGCTCTCCAAGGTAAATGTACCCTTGGGGAAGGTCAATTATATCACTTATGTTTGCAGTTTTACCTAAATGCATATGCACAATGTTTAACTGTGTTTGACTGCTGATTGCCGCATGTTAAATGCCAGTCTGCAAAAAGGAAATATTAACTTCAGAAATGCATACAGATTTCTGGAGCTAGGCCTATAATGTATCTGCTGTATCGTTTTAATTTTCACTGCCTGTGTGGTTTTTGTAAGTTAGTAGTAGTAGTAGTAGTAGTATGTTAACATTTTTGAATATATTTCACACCAAGGCTAGGTACGTGACATAGGTTCCAAAATTTTGCAGCAGCGAAAAGTGCAGAAGGCTGTTGGGAAAAGAGCCTCAGGGATATGTCTGCATTTTGACAGGCCCAGACAAGGGTACAGCAAGGAGACACTTCTAACAACTGGCTCCTTATTTTTATTTATTTATTTTTTTTATGATGTTTTAAATCATCTTTCACCAAAGTCCTGTCGTCAGATACTCCAGTCTCAAGGCATGCAGTTGTGAGGAACATGTTTTGTTTGCTCCCAGCGTGGCCTGCTTATTATATTTAATTATTGACTTGGAAAATGAAGGCATGAGTTATTGTCTGATTAAGGTTCTGGAGCAGTTTTTCATATTATCGCTCTAAATACCATATTCAGAGTGGGTGTATTTGCTTGTGAATGTATTTGTTTTTGCAGTTTTGTTAAACAGTTTTTTATTTTTTTTAATTTTGGCGGAATTGCTTTCCGGATTTTATTTGCTTTTTTGGTACCTGCTGTGAATCCAGGTTCAGAGTGGGTGACCTCTGTCTTGCATCCCAGAGCTCTTAAAGGGGATTATGGGGTCAAAACACAATCTACACAAGCACTTAACAGCCCGTCCCTTTAAGCTAGGCTTGCATTTGGCGGATAACATGTAAAGGACCACAGAGTCTCCAAATGAAATTTCTGTACCAGATTCAACTATTGTGTCCTGTTATTACTTCTGTCAAACAGCAATTATAACAAAAACAGGACTGTACCCTACTTTTATATTTTCCCACCTGAAGCTTTTTGCACTGCTACTTCTGAGCTGGGTTGCATTGTATGTTGCAGCAAATCCAACTGGTGAAGACCACATAACTGGAAAGCATTTTTTTGACTTCAGATATTTTGCTTTGTTAGCCTGAATTATTACCATTAACTTCATTCTATGGATGGATGGTGGGTGGAAATTGATTCTTTCAGGTTTTTCACTGACAGAATAAAAAGGTTTAAACTAGGGACTGGGGGGGCAGGGAGGTTAGTTAAGTATGTAACTGGGGGGAAACGGAAAGCCCCAAAAAATCATATTATAAGTAGGCACTGTAATAGTCCTACCCTTTGTTGTCTGTATTTAAACGCCAGGAGTATTAGGAATAAAATTCATGATTTAGAGGCTCTTATCTCATCAGACTCTTATGATATTATAGCAATAACTGAAACGTGGTTGAGTGATAAGGATGGACAAGAATATAATATGGATGGTTACTCATTGTTCCGTAAAGACCGTATAG